CTCTCTCTCTCTCTCTTCTCTTACTAGTAATAGAAATGTGCTAAACCGTCATGTATTAGTAGTACAATAATTCTGCCAATGATTATACAACGACAACCTCTGAAAAATAAGAACCTATTAAGAACCTAATCAGCCTGAATAGTGAAAAACTACCCTAAAATACAAGAACCTGTTCAGCCTGACCTCGTGAAAACTCAAGGTTCTTATATCCGGGTTTTTACTGCATGTAATATTTGTTACGTTACGGACCATTACGCGAGCTTTTACGCGCTCTATGCGCTAATGTTGCACATAGAGTTGTCGGTTCACAAGGAACGTACATTTAGAAAATTTTCTTACTTTCTTTTATTTCTAGTGCCTCATGGAAAACGATAGCGAATTGTATACCTCGACTGTGGTCTGTTCTGTTCTGTTGTAAAGCACGCAGAAAGCGGTAGAGCACGAAAGAAGCGTTGGGCAAAACACCAGACGTAGTCGACTGTTTTTCCTTCCTTTTTAGTGCTTTACCGCTTCCTAAGTGCTTTAAAACAGAACAGAGCACAGTCGAGGCTTCTTTATTTGTTTCATGATAAAGAATCCACGCATTCGGCTGAATTTTCAAACCAAACTTTATTTTCCAATCGAGTAGAAGTGGCGTCAGTCGTGCTCTGTTCTCTGATAAAGAACGCTAAAATAAGCCAATAGCAATCCTTGTTAGAATTGTTCAAATAGTTTGATTGGCTGGCAGCTGTCAATCACAAACTGGACTTCAGCTAAAGCTTTCAGTTTCGAGTGGCTTTCGAGAGAAGAACGATGCCTTCTAAGTCAGTTCGCTTTTTTTAATAATTTAATCAGGATCTAAAGGCAGGTAACGGTTTCTAGTCCAACGGTGAATTACGAAACAAGGAGCTCAAAGCTTGCGGACGAAAATGCGAAATGCTGAGTTGTATTTGAAATGAGCTACAGTTAAGCTTATTTACGACTTGAAGCCGCTTGCAGCATGAAGATTGCCCGAAACAGCGTCAAAGGTAGAAAGACTAGACTGCTCCCACTGGTTCTACTCCGAGCACAGGACAGAATATCAGAGCAAGCTTTCAACTGATCACTGGTCTGGTAGGCGATGATACAAAATTGTTGAGATGAGATGACCGGAGATCGCTAGTGAGCAAACGAGCGTTTCTACACTGCGTGTAATTGTTATTTGAGCATATAAAGCATTCGCTAGGTTAAGAATTTGTCTATTTCGCTGCGTGTTTTGTCGGAATCTAGCAAAACTTGTTATTATTTTTATTTTTGGACTGTTTCAGTTCACACCTGTTGTTAACGGAGAAGGTCGGTCCAAAAAGTTAATTTTTTTTTTGTCGTCGCCTATAGTAAGTAAACATCTAGCTTTTCCACTCATCGAAGTTTCAGCCTCTGAACTGTCCGCCATCCTGAAGAAATTCGAAAAGAAGCGACTTCGGACGCCGCCGTATTGAAACTGTATTGGTAGCCAGGCCTTGTTTATATGACGTCATTCCGTCCAAATTGGCGGGAAGGAGAAAAACCGGCAACTGTCTTGGCATTCTTCACAAAGTCAGCAAAATCTATTTTTCCAAGCGATTATCTACTTCACTATCTTCAATGCTATCATTTCGGAGTTTGGAGCATGTTTGGCTCAAAATAATACGACTCAAGAGCAGCCGTAACCCAGAGTGGTAGTTAAAAGGCTTGTCGGAAGCCATTTGGACAAAATCTCTCGGAGGGGAATGACTTAACGAAAATGCGGTCTGGCCTTTGAGTACTGTTCAAAATGGTGGCAACGATGTTCGAATTTTGGGCTTCTTTGGGGACGAATTTCATAAGGAAAACCTGCACTTTAAAGGCTGAAACTTCGGTGAGTGGCTCAACTTGGTGCAAGGTTTGTATTAGCGCTGACAAAAAATATACGTTTTTTGGAGTGACCTTCACCTTTAACAGTGGTCTCCGCGAGCCATATTTACTGCAGATAAATAACCCGTTTCCATTGCTTATGTGCTTAGTTCAGTTTTAACACAACTATTGTCAACAATGGTCTCCGTGCAGCCATATTTAGCGCGGACAAACAGTTCGTTTCCATTGCGTTTGTCTGAGTCACAGGGGATGTTCAATTTGGGTCAAATTTGTCAAAATTCCGACGGAAAAATTTCAAAGCCAGCTTACCGCCATCAACCCGTGCTCTGCTCTCTGAAAAAGCACGCTTTTGCAGCCAATCAGAGCGCGCGTTATATGGAAACTTTATTATAAATTATCCTTATACCACTTTATCACCCTTTCTCCATCTTCTATAAGGTTTTTTTCCCCATCTTAGGCGATTCACCAGCCACGAAAATATATTTGGTGATCACGGGCATACATAGAAATACTTGCTTCCATAACTTGCATAGGTAAATCATTCTGGAAAATGTTCCACATAAGCGGACCAAAGAATGTTGGCACTTCCAACAAAGGAGACTTTTGTCTGATTGGTTGATTTGTGACCCTGGTACTCAGGCTCTTACTGAGCGCGCGCTGCCGAAATCTTAAAAACAAAGATGGCGTCCGAAAGAGCGATTTCATCGTTGACTTTACTTCATCGCTTGTTCTAGAGTTTTAGGTAAGCGTTGCAGTTTTTTAGCTTTGACCTCTTTTTCATAACGGTAGGAAAATGTAGGGCCGGAAAACTCAAACTTCTCACAGGTTACCGTTTTCGCTTTTACTGGCGAGCAACTGTTTCCCTCGTGGCTTTGCAGGGTGGAAAAATGTTCCGCCACAAGTGCAAAAAACGCGTTCTAACANTTGTTCTAGAGTTTTAGGTAAACGTTGCAGTTTTTTTGCTTTGACCTCTTTTTCATAACGGTAGGAAAATGTAGGGCGGGAAAGCTCAAACTTCTCACAGGTTACCGTTTTCGCTTTTACTGGCGAGCAACTGTTTCCCTCGTGGCTTTGCAGGGTGGAAAAATGTTCCGCCACAAGTGCAAAAACTCATTCTAACAGCGCGTAAGTAACGTTTAGAGAATGGGTAGTGTGTAGAAAGTGCTGTTGTAAGTTAATTAACAAGAGTGCAAGGGTGTTGTAGTAAAAAAGGAGTTCGTTATGTCTTTTTAATTAATTCAATACATGTATCGAACTGTAAAAACTTACTTTGATTGGATTCCTTGGAAATCAATGTGATATTATTGTAGCAATTGCGTTCTGCACTCTGAATCTTGCTCTGTTGTTGTGGGCATTTGCAAGGTAGGGAAGTTACATAAAAAATGGCATCGAAATATACGCATAAAGTGAGCTGTTGTAATAACCAATTTCAAGCATCCCTTAGATTTAACTATAAGCTTAATTACAATTATTATTCCATTACTAAATACAATTAGTGCTGTTGTGTTTGAAAGCAGAGAAACTCTTTTATGGATAGCACTTTATCTTTCCATCTTCAGAAAAACAGTTGTCACAAATTATTGCTTGCAGGTACTGTTGTTGCTGTGAAGAATATGTATTTCTTGTTTCCTGTTTTTTGAAGAATGATAAATGGGTGTGATGTAACACAATAATGTTCAAGTCCAGATTGATAGCTTTATAAAACAG